AATAGATTTTTATCTTTAATCATCTCGAGAAACGAAACAGGTTAGGCCGACCCACACGTATAATGTAAAAATCAAGAGCAACCGTGTACTAAATCAATGGCTTAGGCGTGCCATGTGACGGACACTGAAGGACATCGGCTTCGTAACTTCTGTGGGTCAGGGTCACAGTCGGAGGAGGCTCTTCCGGTACATCGCTTACGCGTTCTCTGGGTCGGTGGCCTCGTTTTTTTTTCGACCGGCTGCTCCCGGTGAAAGCCAGGAAAAAATTTCAACGCGGTCACACCTTTGTTGGATTTAATCCGACACTCATGTAGAAAGTTAATTGGATGTGGCGCGTGACGGTTAATTAAGAAACTCCGTTCATAAACTGATAGCGGTGATTCGTTCGATCAGCATCGAAGTTGAATCCTCGGCGATTTTGTTCTTGCCACCTTTTTGTCCTAAATTTTGCCCATGAATCAATGACTGAACACGCGAAAATGTTTGATGTTTGTGATTAATAATGGTAATAATCACAGATGCAATAGAAATCTCCAAACAATATCTAAACATCTATAAATCTAAAACGTATTTAAATTATGTATTGCATATTAAGAGAGATAAAAAAATTAAAATACCTTTACTAAGAGTACACTAGTAATAGAATAAATTACATAAAGCAAACTATTTAGGTAGAATCTAAAAATAGACCAAACTACATATTTATATATGTACGAATAATAAAAAGAAGATCTATGATAGCGTTCTAATAAAAAAAGAGATTTATAAAATGTGCCACCAAATCTTTCCTTTTCATTTGGTTAACTACTTCTCTTATCAACTATTAGTTAGTTATTAATTACTAATTTACTGTCTACTTGGAGGATCAAGGGTATAGAAAATAAAGGAACGTGGATGGGGGCAAACGGAAGGATATATCGTGTTACTGTCCAGGTACACGTTGTTGCAGTCGATCGTCCAGAATCGTCCACCAAACACGCGATTATCTACTGGCAGCTAGGAAATATATCTGAAGCGACAATATGGGCGGTCTACAATCTCGTGAGAAACGAGAAAAAAAAGCAAGTAGGGCTGAAGCTAATGTAAGAAATCAGGAAAAGTGAAATGCGTCGCTACTTGTCGAATGCATTCAAATGACCAGGCGGGTTACTACACGTCACATCACGAGAAGACGGAAAACACGCTCTTTTCTCAGCTCAGATGATTAAGATCTGGTAATTTCATCGAGAAAATATAAATTCCGATGCCGACGAAAGCAAACGTCTCTCTACATTTTCATCCGCGACGTTTGTTTAATTCTTCTTGGAATCGAAATTATTCCAATTTTCAGCTTTGAGTCGAAAGAGATTCGCCGCCTTTTGAAATTTGCCAAGGAAGGAAAGAAAACAGAGAGAAGTTATTCTCCTGAATCACGCGTATCGCGAGTGTATCTGGACACAAACACATATGACTGATTTAATGCGACTGGACGATGGTCAATGAAATAAATAGGCGGTACACATAATTTTGTAAAAATAATAAATTATCTGTATTTTGCAATCCAGAACGGACAATGTCTCTGTACAAGTCTTGATATAAGAATAAAGAAACGTCTCAATTCGCGCGAGGCAATCGACATCGTCATCGGCCGTGTTTAATCTGACAGGTGGTAGGCAACTTTAATGAAGAGAAATGCGATATAAAATATAAGACTATTTATAAAGTTATTTAATAAAATATTATAATAATTATAATATATTATAAAATATTAAAATAATGTTTAGAATTAAATATATGTATTTACACTACAAAAAGTGATAAATTATCGACGAATGATTTAAGTCACCTGCCAGATTAAATGTCTTATTGTTAATTCAAACAGAACAAAAACAGAACAAGATCCATTTCTCATCTCTTTCTGTTTTTCGACGTGGACGATTTCGATGTCTCTTGATTCTTGTAGGCGAGACTAAATTGTATCTGTAGATTTTGGTCTCTCTTTCTCTTTCATGCACGCGCACTCCTCTTCCGTTTTCTTCCTTT